CTCAGCTTACGTATGAAGTAAGCTTCCATGCTAGAAATGCTATGTCTTGTTTCAGTTTCACCCTGTTGTGTTTCACAAAGCCAGCCTATGGATGGTAGTAAGTCTAGGAATAGCTCTCCTCCAGCAGCAAGAAGAGAAGCTTTGGCACTAAAACATCCATCAAAACAGAAGTCAGTGATGACAAACAGAAAGGGATCCATTATCTGCTTCCCTGCATATATTACAGACCTTGGGCCTCCCTGGTTTTCAGGATCAGAGAGACTGAAATGTGTGGCAGGATATGAGGCTGAAAGTACTACTCAAATTCTCCATGTAGGACTCGGTAGGATGAGGGCAGTAATGAATTTTATGCCAGCTCCATGGGCAGGTGTGCTTTTCTCTCTGGCTAAAGGACACATTTGCTTAACTCCTGACAACTGTGGAATGCATTGCTAACCTCACCACAGCCTGCCGCAAGTGCGAATGGCAAACTACTACAGCATGACAAACCTTCCTCTGTGACTCGCTTAGGGCCTTCTCCTTCCAGCCACACGCAGCCTGGCAATCATTCAGTCCCTTACTGTCCCTCACCTGCTTTTTGTGAAAACAATATAATTTCCATTACTGGCATCCAAAACCCAAGGTTATAAATATAAAAATCAGATGGCTATTCCCTCTTTCTTTATGGGATTTTCCAAGATCGTCTTGGATATATTTAGTATTCATGTGTAATGAGTCAGAGTGTCCACCTGTGGTCTCCATAAACCAATTTTGTAAATAGCATTGACTGATGTGACTCAAAAAAAAAAAAAAAAAGAAGAAGAAGAAAAAAAAAAAAAAAAAGGCCTGTTTCTGTTTTCCAGTTTTAGTCTGAATTCAAACACTGTTTGCAGTTCCAAGAACTCTGTGGGTTTCATACTCTAGGTCAGTGGGTGGAGAATACTGGAAAAGGCACACTCCATCCTGTCCCCTCGTTCCGGTGGGCTGTAGGTCTCAAAATGATGACTTTAGCTTATAGCACAGTGAGCCACCTTTTCATTTAGAAACTGCTTAATATGCAACCTGTAGATGAAGTCCCGGCGTACAACACTCCTTGTGTTTGTTCCTCACTTGGAGGTTGCTGTTGAAAAATTTGAATTTTGTTTCAGCACAGAAAGAGCTGTGGTCTGGTTTATATGGGTGCTGAAGAGCACAAAAGGATGAAGTCTCACTGACATTTCAGTAACACTCTGAAGAACATGGGAGAATAACTTGACTTTGTTATTATGTTATTTAAGCTCAGGTTATCCTCATGCTAACAGCAGTGGTCACCCTTTGAAGTGACACCTGAATTGCTTTCTTTGGATTAAAGACATCTGTGCATGGTGTGAAGCCCTGCGGGGGCTACAGCACATATTCTCAGTCTTTGGACATACAACTTGTAGGTCTGAAATGCTCCTGGGCAAATTGAGAGGGAACTTCCATGCCTTTTTGTGCAAGAGAGAAGTTTTGAGAAGACAGCAAAGGAATAGCAGCAAGGAAAAGGAGGCAGCTTGAGACCTGTTAATAACTAATGAGCTGTGTTAACCAAAGCTTAGATTAGCCCCTCTGGCAATATGGATCAATATCTCAAGTTAAAAGCACCATCATGCATAATGTCAGGATATAATGTATATTTAGGTTTATAGTAGACTATAAAAAGATAACTGAAATCAGCTCTGCAATGCAGACAGTCCTCAGCTCCAGAAAAACATACCTGAAATGGGAACTCATGGCCCATTTTAAAATGTGGCATTTCTTAAGACATTCTTAAGGCTTAAGTTCTTGCCTTGAAATATAGTTTCATCTGCATCACTTACAGTCTTTGCACAAAAGTAGTAGCTAGACAGCTGCCTCATAGTTGTGAAAGGATAAGTTGCCAGTTTGGATGAAGTGGTTCAAAGGACCCACATAAATGCACAGGTATCAGCACTGAGAATCTGCAAATGATCAAAAAATAACTGAGAAATTGAAGTAAGATGATATGCTTGCTGAGTGCTTCAATGTTCCATCGACTTTAGTGGGAGTTTTGGCAAAAGCTAGGTGCAGGCTGGCCCCTTACTAACAGAACTGAGTGAAACCGTTTTTGACTGTGACCATACGGATATTACTTGTTTTAGGGTTTAAATGAAGTGTGCTGTGCTTGGGATCTAGAAAGTGACTCCTGACTCACAGCATATGTATCAAAAGGACCGGTAATATTGACATAGCTTCTGAATCTGCTCTGAATTGCAAACATAATGATACTGCATAGTTTTCTTTCACCGAAATTTTAGGAGATTTACCATTTGTTTGCTTTCATTGTGAAAGTCAAGACATGTGATACCTTGAGGAATTCTTACATTAATGCTTCAGAAACACTTGAATTTGAAGCTCAAAGCAAGCTTCAAGGCTTGCAAAGCCATTTAACATGGAATGTATAATACAATAAAAGGCAATCGTTTGCATAAATTTTTGCCAACTGAAACCACCAAGCACCGCATAGATCGACGAAGAGCATGGCTCTGCCAGGTGCCAACGTGTCTTGTGAGTCATTGAGTGCTCTCAGCTCTTTCAGACCAACAGAACCGAGCAAAAAGACACTCAGTACTTACCAAGATCAAGTTCCTAACAAGTATAAGAATGTTTTCTGCTACATGTTTTGATTAGAAGAATAATTTTTTAAAAAAAACCATTCTCAGGTAATTAATAAAATTACCAAAGAACCAACATTTTTCCACATCATAGTGAAAGCAAAGCAAGCAGCTGAGTGAGCAGATAACACAAGTCATGTTAATTTGGAATTACAGCAGCATTTGATAGCAGGGCAGTGGCTGAAGTTCTATCAGATTTTCCACTATGTCACCATAAAAATCAACTGAAAACAGATATTTGTTGTATATTTTCTGAGCCTCAGAGTCATTTTAAAATTTACACTTGATTAAGTAGTTTCCATTGAAAAAAAAATGAGTTATTATTACAGCCTTCTAGATAAAAAATCAACTTAAGCTCAGTAGAACTATGTTTATTTGGGCTTTTATTACCTAGCAAACTTTGATCCTTAACATTAATTGCAATGCTTATTTTTCCATATTTACAAAAAGCTTCTTTATTTAAAACATAAGCTGCAAAGGAGTGATCTTTCTTTGTGACCATGTGCTGAGTGTTCCTGAGGCAGACACACACAGCTAACAATTAGCTGGTAGTGCTTCAAGTATATGCTAGAAATAAAATATAATAACTGACTCCAGCCAACTGTATGGGAATGGAATCTTCTGCCTATTGTACTTTGTGCTCTTTGATGCCTGTGGTGCTATGTATTATTTACTGGCACAGCACATGTCTCCAGTGCACCTCAGGCAAGTGGTATCCCTATTTTGACAAGAACCCCATCGCTTTCAAAATATGAAAGGCAGATCATTTTTTTGTTTCAGTAGTGCCACAAGCTAAAAAGGAACAACACAGAAGAAACATCTCAGCACTCACTGAAATCTAGCCAGATCCCACTGGGCATCAAGCAGAATTCATATCCCCTAGAAATGCAGCAGCTCTTGCAACTGTGCCAGCAGCATGACACAGAGCAAGAGGAAGGAAGCACAGAAGAAACAACCATGGGTAATTAGAGCAGGCAAGACGCTAAGGTGATTACCCAGTTTGTAATATAACCAAAAACCAAGACAAATGCTGCTATTCTTGTGACAAATGTCATCCAACGTTTCACGGCACGCAGAAGTCAGCACTCAGAGCCTCAGTGCTGGGACTCACCTGCAGGAGAGCAGCCCACCAGGGAAGCTGGCTGTTGTTGCACGGCTGACTCAGGGTGAAGAATGCCATCTGCTGAATCACAAGTGCCACATCCTATGGCACTGTTTTTCTTTCCATGATTCCCCTGACTGCCTGATACTAGTTAGATTGTAAGATCTTTGGAAAGCTGAATATAACTAAACTCTTGGACCAAGTTTGTGATTGGTACAATATAGCCAGCATGGCTGGCTTTGCCTCTGGGTTGAAGCTGAACCATTAATTTCCTCTTGTCCATATAAAGGTAGGATTGGTAGATCTAATTTTAAAATATGCTCTTGTTTTTCATAAGCATTGCCTAGAATTCTTGTTTCATAGTCATTTAAGGAGCAGTCAGTGTTTCCATGACAAACTTTTCTCTCAGGGATTTATCATTTGCAATAACAACATATTCTAACAGCAGAAATATACTCTGTGTGAATTCTCTGGTGAAGGAAGATGAGTTTAACTGTCAAAAATTGCTAGACTCTCTAATGGAGGTCTTCTACTCCCTAATGGAGACTGATTTGATAACACAGTAAGTCTTGTGCATCTTCCTTATACTTGCTTACACAGATGTAAGTGGAAAAAGTAATATATATTACAGCTTTTGGAAGCAGACTAATCTGTGACAGAAACTGAATGACCTTTCAGTAAGCCTTCTGTTGAGGCTAAAACTCTAATCGAGGCTTCCAGCAATAGAAATTGCTCCTTCTCTCATTAACACGCTCACAAAATGGGAGCTATTTTGTCAAAAGTATTTCTCTAAACAAAACTAAGAGAATTGTATCTGTATGATCCAGTGACACAGGTAGAGGTTGACTTACAGTAAAGGCTGAAATTATTAACTTCTGAGACACAGACCAAGTTACTGAAACAAATTCTAGAGTGCTATAGTATTTTAAAAAAAGAGCAGAAACTTTTCATTAGTAAGGGAATAGTTGCAATACTAACCCTATATTTAATGTAACAAAATATTGATTATTTCTACAGTAGTTACAAAAATTGTGTAAGACGTTTTATAAACACTTAGGCATAGCAGATGCACAATATTGCTTCGAGATGAAACTAAGATATGGGGTACAAAACAGATAGTAACAAAAAAATCCCCAATATTTTAACATTTTAATTATAATCCTTGGAAGAAATAGAGAGAATCTGATAGAAAAGTGAGAAGAATAAAAGAGAGAGATTGGTAGGCATATTGAACCCATTTGTAGAGTTTATGCCTCTTAATTAAATTTTCTACTGCAGTTACCACAAACCCACATCAAATATTCCAAGAAACTGCCATGCCCAACAGACTCAGCTGTAGGCCAACTGCATATGCCTGTGGGAATCAAAGAGGGAGGTTTTGGACAAGCAAGACTACCAACTTTTTCTCTCCTACTGAATTGAGCTGTGGGTATTCATAAACAACAGCAGTCAAATCCAAAATAAAAATCCCACTTTCAACAGCATCCATTCAAACTACACCTTGACAACAATTTTGTTGTTTTTTTTCCCCCGCGTGGTCCATTTTATCTTTAGAAATAGCAGAATAACAACACTTCTAGCCAATGAAAATGCTACACAACACTTTATTAACTGCTCAGGTGGTTTTCATATTTACACCTTGAGTGAAATGTAGTGAAGTGACTGCATAAACCTTGCTCCTCTCGGCCCTCCTCTTCACGTTGCATCTGTCAGTCCTGGTGCTTCAATCTGATTCCATGAATTATTCCTAAGGGGCCCATTTTTAGTGTAAAATAGCTGTATGTCATGGAAAAACTGCTACATAACGTGGCATTCTGAAATTTACCTTTATTTTCTTCCTAAAAAGAGATGTTACAGTTCTTCGTATATTGGAATGGCAACCTTCTTCGAGAGTTTTCTCCAGCTCAGTCACCAACCAAACAGCTCTACGTGTTCAATTTCAGCAGGCTTTGATCAACTTATGGAGACCTTACTGGAACAATCTTTTTCATATGTTTGGCCTGCCAGGCTAGAATTACCACAAGTTAGCTGTAGTGACTGGAAAATCACTTTGAATACATTTACAAAAGAACCCGTAATATTTTCACACATGGATACAAAAAAAAAGTAACAAACATACAATCACATAAAAGCACAAACCGACCAACCAACAAAGATACAGAAGGCTGCAAATCAAAGAGGTAGCTGTGTAGGTAAAGCTGTTGGACACATGGTTTGAAGAATCAGGACAAGCACTGGATGCTCTCAGAGCCAGGTTCTGTGTTGGGACTGAATCAGAGTTGACTCATTTTTTTTGTTTAACATTAAAGCTTGAGAGCCTGGAAGAGTATCAAGCTGAAAAGAAAAACTACAGCCTTTATTGAAAATAATTTTAAAAAATACCACAGAGGTCTTAATTTTCAAGAAAGATTTCTTGAGAAATTTACCTTGGAGCCAAATTCCCCTGTCTGTATCACACATCTCTCTCTGTGGATTGCAAGTGGAAGAATATGCATGCCTGGGGAAAAGATATGAGGAATGTTTTTAATTTTGTTAACTTAGACCTTCTTGTCACGGAATTTATCTAAACCTACTCGTTTCCTATTGGACTCTCATTCCACTGGGCAGTCTGTTGACAGGTGTTCAAGGAAGTGGAGTCACCAAGGAATTTTTATAGGAGTTCTCCATAACAATAAAAGTCACCTTAATATCTAATCAATTTTTTCAGCTCATTTCCTTCTAGCCAAGGGAAACCTGAAAGTAACAGGAAAACATCATAAAACTAACAAGGAAGGGCTGTGTGTTCAAGGTTGAGCACATCAACCCATCCTTGACAGTCTGTGAAATCGGCCAGCTGTGAAGCTGGACTATTAAAAGGTTTTATTTCCCCAAATTATGTATAAGGAGATGTTGCAGGCTTCCCACCTGCCCTTCCCCAGGGACTTTCTCTTCAGAGCAAACTTAATTTTAAATGTGGGCTTAGTAATAAGTCTTAAAGAAGACTTTACATGTGGTACCTATTAGAGAAACTGGAAGCAGTGCTACTTCTACAAGAGCTGCTTTGAAGCATAAGGCAAGAATCTGGGTCAAGCCTCATCCCTTTTACACTACAAAAAAGTACAATAGCCTGCATGCTTTGTGTGTTCTGTGTCCCGTCTCAGGACTGGATGTATCCCCAAGATAACAAAGTGCTGCACTCATTTTGCTGAAACAAACCCAAAGTAACAAACAAACCAGCTGATGATACAAACCACTCCTAACAATTTTCCCCATGTGGGTGCTAGGCTGTTCCTTTGATACTCAAAATGGTGCGTAGTTGCATTTAGTCCAAAAATGATATCAAGTGTCATTCTGTTTCAGATAAACAAATATCTCACAATAATATCTTCTCAAAACTCAAGTCACTTTTAACCACTTTTAGTTTATAGATACAAACAACAGGAGTTCACATGCCTTTGGGCACTTACAGCAAAAAGCTTTTACTTTTTGTAAGGGGTCAACACACACAGATGCAGCAAAGTACTGTTGATGCAGAAAACTTTGTCATATTTAGTCAGTGTGTTGCAACGGAGAAAAGCCATTTGGGAAAGGCTCTGTCTTAACAATTCAACTGCATTTCTTCGCCTCCACTGGCATTGCAGTACAAAAAAGTCAGCAAAGGATTCTTTGCAGAAAAAGAAAATAAATTAGAGCTGAGAACTTCTAGGATATTGTTATTACTAGATTCACCTTAGACATTCAGATGAAGGAAAGGGAGAACCTACAATAAAGGCCAACCTGGTAAATAAACAAAACACTGAATGTCCAGATCTGCAGCTGGTCAGTAACCAGAGCAAAAGCAAGGTGCCAAGCCTCAGCTCAGCAGCCTGCTGCAAGACTCAAAATAATAATAATTTAGAAGAGTCTATGATATTTGGATTTTGTTCTGTCTGAAGTTGTTTTCCAAAACTTCTTAATAATTTGTTTTGAGTTCTGGAGGGATTCTCTTCCCATTGATTTTAAAATACCTGCCAGTTTTCTCATAATTCTACTCCTCTATTAAAGTACAAAGGCTGAATTTCCACAGATAACCCAAACATTATTGGTTTTTCTCATTCAAATATCTTGAAGTTTGTAACAGCTTCAGTTACTTGAAAAGCGATGACGAGTGCATATGAATGAATGAACTGATACAATAGTGCAGTAATGTTGTATTGGTAACCCACAACCCATTCACACTGCTGATCCCTTAAGATTATTAAAATATAAGGGAATTTTTCTATATTGTTCATTACTTACAAAAAAGAAAAAAAGAGTATTAATGGACTGCAACATTTGCAAAATCAAACTTTCAGAAATAAGGCAATCATACATTTGCATTTGACCCAATTGCCTTAATTTTGACATTGTTTATTGAAGCTAGGAATAAAACTGAGAAGTTGCAGAATGAAGGATACTTGGGAAAGGCCAAGTTTCGTACTTGCTAATTTCAAAGTGTTGATTTTGTAACCAGACTGAACTTAATCAAGGCCCCTGGGAAGACAGAGTCCGCAGTGAAGGCAACTGAAGATCATACCAGAACACGCAAACACGACACTAAATTTAAGCTGGCTAGACAGACAAATATCTGGCATTTCCCAAATTCAAAGCACTTGATTTTCCACTGACAGAAAGAAAAAAATAAAGGAAGTGTGAGTTTCAAGTGTGTATTGCTGATTTGTATTTTAAAGAAAGCCTAAATTCACCCACCTCTTCTGTATCAATGGGATTTCAGTTCTGACTGCTTGTGATTGTTCCACAGAAGCCAGCTGACAGAGAAAGCCACACTACTAGCCACAAACACTGTGTGGAGAGAGCTGGTGGAAGAGAGGTCCTGGAGAATGGCAGAGGAGGGAGCTGGACCATCCCACAGCTGTTCCAGCATCCCGTCAGACATTGGCTCACCCTGTGCTGCTGCACTGGCAGCAGTGGAGCTACAGGCACCCTGGCTGTGGTGCTGCCAAGCTGCCACAGCTTTCCTCAGCTCCACTGGATCTCTGAGATGCTTAAGATCTCTGGAAAAGCAGTTCTGTGGAACTCCTGCTCTCTCCTTTTTCTTCTACCACATTTGTATGTGCACACCCTTCACATAACTATTTCAAAGACCTGTTGGAAGCAAAAGAGATGTTAGAACTTCTCAGGATGGAATAACAAGAACTTTTTGTACCAAAATGGGTCAGGGCTTCCAGATGAGCAGGTAGCACAGCTGCCACCTCAATGATTAAAGCAGTGTTAGGTATAGCCAACTTCAGGCTCAATGGGTTCAATGAAAATTTCCTCCTGTGTTTTAGCCTTCCCTCCAGTGTACACCCACATATGGGGTGACCACTGCTGGTCCAGATTATCCAAATAAAAATGCTACCTCTGACTACAGGATGACAGGAAACCTAGACAACTCTGTTATCCAGATTTCCTGAATGAATCAGAATTTTAAATGCGCAAATGAGTGAACATCTGCCACATCTTTTACAGGAAGGAAAAAAGAATAATGCCATCATAATAGCACATTTCTCTCTCAAGAAGCTTTGATGTCAGGAAACGAAGTATCCAAGTGCAGCTATTTTTCTAACTTGTTCACCTTTGGGGGTTGCCAGAAGGAGGTCTTTTTAGTCTCATAGCCCACTACAAAGGTTAGAAATGGAGAATAAGTGATCATCCGCATGACTATTCTGTGAAAGTTCTGGATTTTCCAAATGCCAATTTACAGTCACATGTTTATTCATTTTTCCAGTCAGTGAGTATTATAAAAATAAAAGACAGAAAAACAGAGGTTATGCTAATAGTTCCCAAGTGACTATCAACAGGATCATGCAGTTTCGATCTGTGATGCAGATGGTGGTAGATTCCCTCAGGAAGCTGAAGAGGACACAGTTCTTAGACAGAGTTGTGGAATGACGTAGAAACAACAATCTGCAAAATTATTATAGAATCATAGAATCATAAAATGGCTTGGGTTGAAAAGGACCATAAAGATTATCTAGTTTCAACCCCCCTGCCATGGGCAGGGTCGTCGGCCACTAGACCAGGCTGCCCAGAGCCTGGTCTATAAAGCCATATCAGCTATTGATTTTTAAGGAGTTCTTTGAATTATTGGTAACTTTCAGCATGTTCTCGCACAGACACCAACTCTAAGAGGCAGCAAGGAACTGTCAACAGAGCTGAAAAGCCCTTAGGTGAGCAATTACATCTATTGCTTTTAAACTGAAGAAACTACCAAATTTTTGATCTTCTGTCAGAATTGTTCTGTAGCTGAGGGTTGACATTTAGACTTTTTTTTCTTTTTAATTAGATTTTCTGTCTTAAGAAAAATCAAATCAAATTAGTATAATTCTGTGGAATTGAGTAATACTGAGAACGACGGCCTATTTTATAGCTCTGCAGCATGATTCCCTGAACTGAGCAATACAACGGGTAGCCTTCAAGTGGTGGCATAAATTCCATTGCTTCCTTGTTGGGGTGTTGACATTAGATAAACTGTTCATAAACGTTAAATGTAACAAGCCTTCTTTGTGATTTCTCCTTTTGCAAACTTCAGAAATTTCAGCACCAAACATAATACAGACTGATGAGCCATGACAAACTGCAAACATTAAAGGACACAAAATTGAACTGCTGGGTTGTCTTCTGCTTAAATTTCACAATCTTTACATACAATTTCTTTTTTGAATGCAGCCTGTATTTTTTTTTTCTGCTTTCCAAAGTAGGTGAAAGGCAATCACTTGGAATGGAAGGATCTTTGATATGTCCACTCTTATGTTCTTCTGTATATACCTTTTCACACTGTGAGTTTGTGCCTTTCTGTAGAAGTGAGCCAGGTGAGGGGGACTGGGGTTTGTGTATTTACACATTCTGTTTCCCATGTTATATAATTCACAAGGATTTAGTACGAAGCTGAGAAACACTGATATGAGTTTTTCTGTTTCTCCATCACAGATCTTTAACTCTTCGCTGTCTTTCTGAAAGTGCACCTTCAAAATTCCTTCTCTGGAGTTTCGCTTTTTCATTCAAAGACCCACTGGGGAAGCTTACTCTAGTTCTGTAGATGCCCCATATTTTTCTCTCTATCATCTGATCTCCACAGAAAGGCAGCTTGGGATACTCTCTGTTGCTCTCATCTCTTTCCCAATTTCACCATGCATCTTTCTCAGACCTCATGTCACGTGCCTCTGTAGTGTAAAAAGTGGTAGTAAAACAGCTATCTGGCTTTACTACTGTCATTCATCATGGAATTTATGTTTCCCCCAGGCAGAGGTACAAAGTCAAATGCTTTACAGAAATCTATTATAATTAATGCTCCACTCTCCAGAGATATGAGATACCACAGGGAAAGGAAAAATACAGACAAAACTCATTCTGGACCTGAACTTTTCTTGGGAGTAATTGCATACGCAATACTGTAGCATTGAGCTTGAACTCTTCAGCTTTTCTGGACCCAAACTGTCTCACATAGAATTATCTTAGCTCCCACTTTAACCAGTGCACTGGCTGTTCAGCAAACCAAATCATCTTCTCATGCATGATGGGGAAATTACTCTTTCCTTTATCAAACTGGATATCTCATCAAAAAGGATATTCAGGCAAAATGTTGAGGTTTTGTTCCAAATAATTGAGCTCAGTTTTTTCCTGTCAAAGACTTGACAGAACAAGGTGAAGAAGGTCACTAAGAACACCCAGCCAATATCTCAGTCACCTCCTTCCATGAAAAACAGTGGTGATACTAAAGTCACCAACTTAAATAGCTGAGGAGTTTGTGAAGAACGCTGCATGCTGCAACAAGATAAAATCATTTTACCTCAGGATTGTTATCTAGTGTAAAGGAGTAAACCAAGAAACCTGCATCGCTGTGTGCCAAAAAAGTTCACCGCTGAGAACTGCAGTACTTCAGGGTGAAGGTTGCTCTCTGTGATGCACAGTGCCATCAGTCAGCTTTTGGGATACAAGACGTAGAACTGTTTGGCATTTGTGCCTACAATTGACAGAAAGACACTTTAATGCGCTGTTTTACTTATACAGCCTTATGTATTCAGTATGCTGAAATAATTACAGAGCGGAATGCATAATGAAAGAACTAGCAGGTTATACAATTAGCACAACTGGCCCCCAGAAAAAGTTAGTTGGTGCATTTTCACTCACTGGATGTAGTTAAATAAAAAATATACATTTTTGTACAGGAAACTTCCCAGCACCACCTGCAGCTGTGAGCAGGAATCAGTCAGTGACACTGCAAGGCTTCTGTTACGTAGGAGGCCAGCAGGGATCGTCATAATGATCCCTTCTTGTTTTAAAAGCACAGAATGCTATATGTAATCCCTGTAATTAATCTAACTCCATAAGCTTCTATTTACAAGTCCGTTATTTTGGCTGTCTGTATCAGGAGAAATAACTAGTTGCAGCCAGTCAGAGTTTATTGAAAATAGGGAATTACTATTTGGAGCGAAGTCTGTTTCTAAAAAGCCTGCTGTATAAGTCTCTGCTCTCTGGAAGCACCAAAGTTGATCTCTATGACACATCCTATTTGCCGAAAGTTTACGGTAGATTGACTCATGCAGTTTTATGTTGTGCTCTGTTTAAAATACTACTTTTTTTTTTTTGGTTGAGTGGTAGCTGTTTCAGTGGTTACCTTTTGGTTTGATGGTTTGTTTTTATAGGGCAGAGAAAGTTTACCCAAATTACGAGCAGTTGCCAGTACTGCCTGAAGAAAAATGTCATCCTGACATTGATTTCTTTGGGGAATGAATCATGCAGCTATCCAACTTTTAGTAATGCTGTCTGTCTAGATTTGTGATCTTTTTTCTTTCTTCTAGTGCAACGTTTGTCACTTGTAACAATGCGTGATGTCTGTCTTAAGCATATTTATAGTTTACCCTATGTTTACTAACAGTTCTGTTCTGTGTCATTCCTGTCTGGCGTATGCATCATCAGTAGTTTCATTTCAGGATGGAAACCTGTAATTTCACTTTATATTTTGTCCATATGCATCATTTTTGTGGCTATCTTTTACCCATTATGGGGCATTAAAAGGAGGACTTCTTAATGATAGAAACCATGACATGTCTCAAATATAGCACAACAGGGATAATCATAGACAGAAGTTTAGAGGTATCTTTGGTTTTGACAATTAATGACTGCCTGCATTAAAGTTTTAATCCATTGCATCACATAAAAAACCACTAACAAAAAGCTATGGCACATTCCTTCAGGGTTCCCTTGAGCTCAGCTAATCCAAAGGAAATCAAAATGGCCAAACCTTTAAATCAGCACAAAAAGAAAGCCTAAGTAATGAATACAGTTTTATAGATTACTTCAGGTCAGATCCTGCTCTCTTGAAGCGCTCCACTTAGGAGGAAAGGCTGAGCAATAAAATCAAAGTAGCAGATGTTTCTAGTCTGGTTTTAACCCCATGCAATTAGAATAACAGACAAATAATAACTTCTCGTTTTTCCATCCCTGTTTTCCTTTCAAGATTGCTTGATTCCATTTTTTTCTTGCTCCATTATTGTGTGCTGTTATTATTTATGAATTGCTGGTTCATACAAATATTTGGAGATATGAATCCATCATACTTTTACCATGACGTCTAGGGCCTCCCAGTCAATAAATGTCAACTCTCATCTCCTTGGAAAACAGTGGCTCAGAATTTAGGATGTGCTTCCATCACTCTCCACACCACAACATGAGGAGACACTCGCTGAATGCATACACGTGGCATGGGATGACAGCAGGGATGGTCATCGCATCTGATGGAATCAGCAGAGAGTGGCACCAAGGCCCTGGCATCCACACACAAGGAAGACTCACAGTGCATGACTCATTCCTCACCACAGATCCTTCTTAAAGGAAAGCACGTGCTGTCTGTGAATAACTTCCTAGTACTACCAGGCAGCAATTCCTTTCCAGATCAATTCAGTCTAGATTTGAAAATAAAAATTAAAGAAAGTTATTGCAGAAAAGAGGCCAGTTTCATCTGGAGAACTGGCATAGAAGCATCCAGCAGGATGCCAATCTAAATCCACTCACAGTGCTCATCTGTACCCTCATTAAGTTGGCTTCCCACTCCTGTGAGCAGGCACCATGCCATCCTATGGCATGGGCATTGGAGCGGGGAGCCGAGCAACTGTGCACACACACTGAGCAAGCAAGGCAGGAGGCCAAGCCCAGCGACAGGAATGCTGCAGCATGGCTGGAGTCTCTGCACAGATTCAATAGTTAATGGACCGTGTCAGCAGCATGAAGCTGGAAGTACCTCTGAGCTCAGCCAAGCAGCCTCCTCCATTGCCTGAAGTCGTTTCTGTCAACAAGAGATCAGGGCATAAATTGCGCAAGAAGAGGGAAGAGAGGAAGAAGAGGGATGGGAGATTTCTTAATGGTGGACTGTGCGATCAGGCTCTGCTTTCCCTTTGCATGGTCCTTGTTCTTGTGATCAGGCTGTTGGTCTTTGGGAAGAAAACATATCTGATATCTGATGCGGCACTGTGGATGCTTGCATAGCAAATCTCTTCTGCACTATAAAAACAGGGACCAGTTAACATTAAAGGCAGCTTTTTACCATTAACCCAGCTCTTCACAAGTTCAGCTTTATTCTGAATTGCTTCTGCCTAGTGATGGCCTAAGGGTAAGACCTCTTCACTACAGCGTAGGACAAAACCCTGCAAGGATCAACTGTTTCACCCCACCACATGCTACTGTGACCAAACTGCAAGCACCTAGCAGGGTGTGACAATTTCCTATCCCTTCGACCGAAAGTCGCTGTGAACACTGTAGCAAAGTTGGAAACTCCAAAACACTTGGAGAAATGACAGTGCTACACAATGCTTTACTGATAGTATTGGACAAAGTCCAACATTGTCCTTGGAACTGATTTAATGTTATTTCTAAACTCATAAATTCCTTTGAAGACTGTCATAAAAGCCCACATATTAAACAAAGCCACGCACCAGATTTTGGTGATGAGAAACAGTGGGCTGATTTATGAGCCTTTCTTCTGTATCTGTGTTGCTATGGCCAGAGAGAAGACAGATTAAAAAGCAAAGCACCCAAGCATATGTCACTTTCTATGTGGGGATGAGATAAATGCAAACTTGAAGTTAGGAGAAAAATGCCTTGGAGAAAAATGCTGGAAACTCAGTGGTTCACAACATGTTCCCATCAATGGCAGAACAATTGCTACTCAGAAATCCTCCTATAAGCCCTGTAGCTCAAATTTAACCTTGCCAGGGATGGCTGAGCAGCAGTTCCAAGCGACATGTTTTCCTCCAAATGGTAGAAGTCACAGCAGTCCTTTTAGCCAGTCCAGGCTAGTGATGTACTTTATATGCTAACCTACTTTTAAACTAAAACCCAGTGCTAATGGCTCCACACTGTATGGGCAAATAAATATCTACAGTTCAGAGACTCATATGGAGTGGGGACTGGAATGCAGCCTTCCATTTCTCAAAGCTCAATGGTCAGATGCTGCAGAGATGCTAGCAATAATCACAGAATCACAGAATGGACAGGGTTGGAAGGGACCT